CTTATTAATTTAGAGTTTACTAATAAGTTTGTGATTATTTCTACAGATTATATGCTAATGCTTACCTTTGTACCTCCTTTTTATAAATTTTATATGACCAATGAGTAATACGTATGAAATTAGGAACTTTCTTTCTTGGAGCACTACATATTATAGTACCTTTGAAATACCTTAGTTACATAAATGTAATCAGAGCTCAACACAAGTTATACTTGTTCTTAAAAATAATCACTGTAAAACTCGATCTTTAAGATAAAACATCTGGCAAGTTCTATCTTCATTAACCTGATACAGTTTGTGTATTCATAAAATATAGTAAAACTATTTCCTTTAGAATTTCTGTGATTCTTTATCAATTCTTTCCCTTTTACCCATCCCCCAGTGAAATGTAACAAAATACTGATTTAACTGTACACCATTTGTTAAATTTTCAGATAAACATAGAACTTTGGTTTTTATTACATATTTTAATTTTTTCTGCCCTTTTTTTATTTGGATGTGTGTTATGAGTATCTCAAAACTTTTCATGTATGTATATATTTTATATACTGTAAGTCCATTTGACAGTAAAACAGTGATTAATTGGGATTTTACTTTCAGAATCTTTCAATCCAATCTTCTTTTTCTATCCTGACCTCACATTTTCACTTGGATTGTCTTCTGACTTAGTGAACTTCTATCTACTCTCAATCCCTTTTGCTAGTCTATACTCCACTCATGTAATTCTCTTTCTTAAAATCATTTGATAAATAATTCCTAATCATATCACAATAAAGTCAAGCTCCTTAGTCTGTATACAGTTAAGATTTACATGTCTATTTTAAATATTCAGTAGTATCAAGACCCTAATCAGAAATCAAAGTTAGCATAATCATGGACAATCAGGAGAAGAAAATAGAACTATCCTACGACCCAGCAATTGCACTATTGGGTATTTACCCCAAAGATACAAATGTAGTGATCCGAAGAGGCACGTGCACCCCAATGTTTATGGCAGCAATGTCCATAATAGCCAAACTATGGAAAGAGCCAAGATGTCCATCAACAGATGAATGGACGAAGTGGCATTCTAAACAGTCCAATCTTCTGCCAGTTTTTTTTGTCACTAGGCAAACAAAATACTCGCTTTGTAGTTCATTCTCCATGGTACATGAGTTTTCTCAAAGGCCTTCTTTTATATGCATATGTAATACAAGGATTTGTTTTACAAATAAAGTACAAATATAGAGTGTAATTAATTCTAAGTTGATTTCAGGTGAAGGTATAACATGATGATGACTTAATTGTGGCTTAAATCAACACTAAATGTTTTAAAAATATATTTAAAGTAGAAGGTGTGATTTATCGTAGTTAATAACCAAAGTTATCTTAGTGGCAGTCACCATACATTAACAATGACATAACAATCTAAAAGGAAACAAGAAATATATAATATAAAATTTATCAGGTATATTTATAAAGGTTGCTGTTACATGAAAAACAGATTTAATTGCACTTTCTGTTATTTATCTATTTGATGATAAGTAAGAAGTGATGGAGGAAGGGTAGTAGTCTCAGTATTCAAAAGACTTTTGATTTTATTCATGTGCTCCAGATGCCCTTTCTTGGCTCTTTTAATTTTGATCTTTTTTGTGCAGTCGCCTTGTCATCAGAAAAAAATTTTTTATCTCACCCCTATTTTAATTTTTCATTGTTAATAGTACTCTTTAGTTTAATTAGAACTTTTATATGTCCTTTTGAGGAACAACAGTCAGAAGTTTCCTGAACACTTTTGATTTTAGAACACAGTCCTTAAATGAAACATCCAGTGATTGAAATTTACTTTGAAGGTTGAACCAAATTCAAAATACTTAATTATAATTTTTTAAATAACTGCAGAAAGACATCTATAATTCTCCTAGGTATCTGTGATTCAGGTAAACAGCTAGAAGATGGCAGATGGTGAGGTGAGAAGCCCCCTCTGTTTATTCAGTGTGGAATCATCACTTGAATATAAAATATAGGCATGCGCTTATTAACCAAAATCCTTCTGTGGTCATATACCACTTTATATAAATATAAACATAATGACATATACATATAAAGATAGCTATAAAGAGTTGTTACATACTCGTTGTATGTATGGATTTGTGGTCTAGTGTCATTTTTCAACAACAAAGCAGAACACTAACAATGACTACCTTTTAATCTTATGTTAGAAGGTTTTCGTCAAATCTACAACCTTTGAAAATGGTAAACATGTAAAATAATGTGATAGGAAAAATAAGGTATATCTATTGTGGTGGGCAAAAGAGTCAGTGACTATAAGCCAATTTCAAATGTCACTGAATGAATTATTAGACCTTTGTGGAAAAATGATTTGATTTGACTTGCTTCTGCCAGCTCAGCCTGTCTTAAAATCCCTGTTCTGGCCCTGAAATTTCTAATTCAGTGAATTTTTGACTCCCAAAGTATCTTTAAGTGTGGCAATGGATAATAGAACTTTTATTTTTTAAGTTTAGAACATTATAACAATGCTGAGAAGGTTGAATGACTTTTTTCAAATATGTTTATACTTATAAGATGAAGCTCATGTAATACTTAAGCCATGGAACATACTGTTCTTGTTTTTAAAATAATTGTGAATAGGCATTTTTTGCATAAATCCCAGCTTGTCCCTCTCTTCATTTTTGAAACATTCAAATTGGTTATTTTTATTTAAAGGCATATTACTATTTAGGAGATAGTGTATTACTGAGTTATATACATTCGAATTTCATCAAATCCATTTATATCTGTATTTGTAACTGAACCAATGCAAGTTTGCTCCGTGGTGAGTCAAAAACTGCACCAGATTGAGTCGTTGCACAAAGAAGACTTTTATTTGTAGCAAATGAGATCATGAGGAATGGCTTCCAAAGCTGTGACTCCCCAAGAAGGGGTGAATGAATACCTTTTGTTTAGGGTTAGGATGAATGAATATTATAGATAAGGAAGCCTTGTCATTGTATGTAGAGATAAACATCAGGTCATGCATGCACCTTAAGAAAACATGTCTATACGTATAGTAGATGTTATGTAAATGAGGCCGTGGTTCCTCTTTGGGCAGAGATTTTAGTATTATAATGAAGTAAAGGTAATTGCTGGTCATTCCAAGGGTTACTCCTTGGTCCATCTGCACAGGCACAAGTTAGGGTTTTAGCTCAAATGGTTTGGGTGGTCTGGGCCAGTGCGAGGTCTTTGTCAGGGCAGTTGCCGTCACCTGTGGGGTGGTTTCCAGTTTCATTTGCCTGAGTTAAGAGATAAGCCAGAAAGAAGAGTTTAAGGAAGAATGTAAAATGGAGATTAGTGAATATAAGCAGGTAGGCAGTAAAGGTCAGGTATTGGGGTCTAGCTGGTGAAACTTTGACTATAGATACAGAAAAATAATGTCCACTTGAGCAGCTCTTGAGAACTGTATTTTTATCATGGGTTCAGTTATACCTTGAAGTGGAAAAAAATTAATATTAACTGCACTTTGCATGGAGATTTTGGTATATCTCTTTTGGTCTTTAGAATGACTCTATAAGGAAATATGGTGATACCTCCATTTTACAAGTACGGAGTCTAAACAGTTCAGATTTTCCTATTCACATGGCAAAGAAGTAGCCAAATGATGCTTGACACTAAGTTTCTTAGAGACCAGAGTCTGAGCTCTTCCTTTACCATACTGGACATTTTAGTTATACTTTCATTTTCAAGATATATGCAAGTATCTTGTTTTGACATCCTTGGAATCTTGTCAGATTTTAGTTAAATAACACTTATTATATGTCTTTTTCATTGTGCCATTTTAGTGAGTATGGAGTAGCATCTCATTGTAGTTTTGATTTGCATTTCCCTGATGACTACTCATGTTGGACATCTTTTGGTGTGCCTGTTGGCCATTTGGATATCTTCTTTGGAGGAATGTCTATTTAAATCCTTGGTTCATTTTTTGTTTAGTTGGGTTGTCTTTTTTTATTTAGTTGTAAGGGTTCTTTATATGCTCTGGATACAAGTCCCTTATCAGATACATGATTTACAATTTGTTTTTCTCATTCTGTAGGTTGTTTTTTTTTTAATTTTTTTTGTTTTTTCATTTTCTTGATGATGGTGGTAAAGCCCAATTTTTATCCTCACTTTTCTGAGTTTTGAAAGTACCCCATATAGACACAGCCCTTTGGATGTAGCTGTTTATCGACTGCCATGGCATGAACTAGGAATATATCTATACTTAATACAGATTCTAGATTTCAAATACTTTTTTAGTAGTTTCAAGATTATTATTACTTGTGGTTCTTGCACTCACATCATCAAAAAGTAATACTTTTGAGAACTTGACAGTTCATAATTTTGAAGAGAGAGGATGGCCATCTTTTTTGATTCATAATTGTAAAACATTTCCATTTTTAGATTTGTAAACACCAATGATCAAATCACTTAATTTTTTCATTTCCACATGATATTTTTTCTTCCAGACACTTTTGTATACATACTTGCCTTCAGCCTTTGTTCATTTGTTAACCATATCAAATAAATTTTGGTGCACAAATGTAAATGATGAAAGAATATTGTCACATATCTTTCCAGCAAAATGGTATGATCCGAGTTCCTGTTGCATGTTATTGCATGATAAAGTCCTAACTGTAGAATAACTAATTGGATAGAAATACCATATTTCCTTTTTGCCCTTAGAAATGTTTTATTCATTTATCAGTTCTTGGGTTTGAGAAAATTCATTTAGGATATCGTTATCTGTAGGCTCATAGTCTGAGATTTCACTTACACCAATTTTACCATTATTATTGGAAACTAGATTGTTACTATCTGTCTCTTTGCATTCGTTTCCTGTCTTGTTTCTAATATTTATGAAGCATCTTTATCATTTTTCTTCTCTTTGTCATTGTGAGTGAAAAATAAAAGATCTCAATTCTCAAAAAAAAAAGTGTATTATTTAGCAATATAATTTTTAAATAAAATACCCCTTTTAAAACATTTAGCTTGCTTTGGCAGTTATATTGAATATGAATGCCAGGTACACGGGTACTTTGGAATACTCAGGCTTATCTAATGGAAAAAGTGACAAATTGAATACAGGCATACCTCGTTTTATTGCGCTTCACTGTATTGCACTTTGCAGATACTACATTATTTACAAATTGAAAGTTTGCAGTAACCCTGCGTGAACACATCTTTGGTACCATTTTACAACAGCATTTGTTCAATTCATGTCTCTGTGTCACATTTGGTAATTCTCATAAAATTTCCAGCTTTTTCATTATTATAAATTATGGTGATCTGCAATCAGTGATTATGAGTTCCTGAAAGCTCAGGTAATGGTTAGATTTTAGCAATAAAGTATTTTTTTAATTAAGGTATATACATTATTTATTTAGACATAATGTTATTGCACATTTAATAGACTACAGTTTGGTGTAAACATAACTTTTATATGTACTGGGAAACCAGAAAGTTCATTTGATTCACTTTAGTGCAATATTCACTTTATTGAGGTGATCTGGAACCTAACCTGCAATCTCCAAGGTATGCCTGTAGTTATATTACTTTGAAGCAAGTTCTATAATAGAGGTGAGAATAAAATATTAGGGGAGCAGAGTATGACTAACAACTTTCCCTGTCTAGGTGTCTCCCCTGCTAGATTGAACTCCCAGCACAGCACCCAGCTATAATGTTGGGTGCTAGTTACCAAAGGAGAGGAGAGAAACATTTATTCAGCCACTACTGCTTGAAATCTTTTTGGTTTTTGTTAGGAAGCTTTGAATATTCCTTCTAGACTTTTCTGTTGAGGAAGAGAGCAAAAATTTGAAGGAGGTCCTTGCAGGGATGGGGATCAATAGATTATCATTAGATTGGTGTTCCCAGCTTGTGAAAGGAAGATATTGCCTCTTTATTAAACTGCATGTTTCTCTGCCAGAGAAAAAGATTGCTTTGTCCAGTTGGTATTGAGTAATTCAGAAGTAAATGTTGAAGTATAGTGGAAGGGATTAAAGTAGATAAGATTTAGATTATCTATATACTTATATAACATATTTAAAACTTTACATAACAAGTCTTGTATTTGTATAAACTATAACCTAAAGACTACTTTTCGTAAAACCATGTGATAGCCCCCAAAGTAAAATATATTAGAACCCTTGTGTAGTAAACTGGGTTACAGAATTCCCAGCTCAATTTTATGTTTTAAGAGAAAATAGCATTTATTTATTGACACTGAGAAGAGAGTTCATAAAATTAGAAATCAACAGTATATTTTCTTAATCAGCAATAGGATGTGATATTATTCTCCTAATTGCATGTGGAATTTCTTGCCATTGTCAACTTTTGTTGAAATATGCAGAAGTCATAATCTTTTTTGTAATTAATAGACTAAAAAGAAGTTGCCTTGTAAGATAAGGATTTTCTTCTCTAATGAGTAAAGGCCCTCTGAAATTTGCAAGGTTAGAATCCTCTATTAGCTGCAGAATATATGATTTCTCAGGGAGATACATTATATTGTGCTGCCCCAGACCCTTCTGAATGGTTTAAATAAACAAGTATTTCCTTAGATATTATTTCTCAGATATATGTCTATATTAGAGGATTTTGTAACCTAATGGAAATAACGCATTTGGATAAAATTAGTATGGAGTCTGACACAAATGTTAAATAACCAGTCTCCACTGTCTCTTTAAAGGTTGAATATTTTTTGAAAAAGTATATGATTGATTGATTTTCGGTATATGATTTATTTTTAATTCAAGCTTAAATACTAACCTAAATTTCATTGCATATCCATAAATAACAGTTTTGTATTTCTTTAGGAGCAGCAACCTTTTCAGGCTAGCATTCTTAAAAAGAAAAAAAAATTAATCTCAAAACACCTCTCAAATTTGAGCTGTCCTGAGAATTGGATTCTTAGAAAAGTACAAGTTAATTATAATCACATCTGATTACTTAGTTCATTTTTTTTTTTCTTATCTTCATCAGGAAAACTTTATCTGTTTTCGTTTAGGACATGTCTGGAACTCCAGTTTAAAATGCTTCTTCGATTTCAAATAAATTGAACTATCCAATATAATTTTTCTTATCCTAAAAGCCAGGATTACATTGGTGGCATTCATTTTTTTAAATGTCATATTATTTGGTAATTTAATACTATAATAATACTGGAGGAGTGGGCTTAGGAGAAGAACCTAGATTTCAGTCCTATCTCTAACACTTATGGACTGTATGACCTTGGTCTTTAGTTTTGGTTAATAATCTTTTAGATAAATTTTTAATAGTCCATTTCAAGAAAGAAACTATCTCACTATTGTCCTTTATTTGCTTTATAGATCAGTGTACTGTTACCCGGACATACCTGTTCCTTCACAAGTTCTGGTTCTTTAGTGCCGCGTACTATTTTGGTAACTGGGCCTTTCTTGGGGTAAGTAGTGCAGGTATCCTGGGGATGATGTGATCCTTAATTGCCCATTTGTATCACAGTAGTGCCATTGGATTTTAAATTCATTACTTTCTGAATGATCTTAGATGTAAGAAATAACACGTAGTTTATTTAAATTTACAGGTATTCTTGATTGGATTAATTGTATCCTGTTGTAAAGGGAAGAAATCAGTCATTGAAGGAGTAGATGAAGATGATTCAGACATAAGTGATGATGAGCCCTCTGTCTATTCTGTTTGACAGCCTCTGTCTTAGGGGTTTTATAAGGCTGACTGAATGTCTATTATGCATTTTTAAAGTGTTAAACTAACATTAGGATGAACTGACCAGCTTTCATCAAAAATGGGAGCATGGCTATTAAATAAACTATATTTTTTATGTTATCTGAAGTAACATTGTATCATAGATTAACATTTAAAATTGCTATAATAATTCTATGTAAATATAAAACTGTGAACTTTGTGAGGGAATGTTTGTGGAAATTTTTTTTCTCTAGTGTATAATAGTGTTGAATTGATTAAAAATCTTCCAGAATTAATATTCCCTTTTGTCACTTTTTAAAAACATAATAAATCACTTGTATCTGTGCCTTTGGGTCTCTAGAGTAATGTGGAATTCTAAAGTGTCTATAACTGATTGTCTAAATATAATACAATATAGCTGATAAATAAATGTTACTCCTCTATGCAACTTGTTTTCTATTTTCTACATTAAATCATTAATGCCATTCAAATATATTTCATGAGCAGATCTCAAGCTACTTGGTGCTGTAAGACCATGGCATCCCAAGATGAATTGTATTGTTCAAATATTAATCCTTTAGATATCTTACCACCTGTATAGTATTTAAGGCATATACATTGTTGTAGGTAGCTAACCTCAAAATTTGCCTTCCAACATAAACGGGAGTGTTGTCAAGAATAATTGATCTTGAAAAAAAAAATCAGTTTACTGATTAGTTTAAGATATGTGACATTGGGGTGCCTGGGTGGCTCAATCAGTTAAGCATCCAACTCTTGATCTCAGCTCAGGTCTTGATCTTAGGGTCGTGAGTTCAAGCCCCACATTGAGCTCTTCACCAGGCATGGAGCCAACTTGTATGTGACATCATATTTTGGTTTTAAAGGTATTTTTTCATTCTAAAGATTTATACTTTTCAAAAGAGGTAAGAAATGCTAAATAATATTGATAGGGTATTTTGAACACACTTTGAGTAGTGAGAAATCATTACGAATGGTATTGTAGTTTACTCACATAAGCAAATCGGAACTCATAAAAAGCACAAATTAGAACCCATAAAAAACACATCTTTGAAATAAAATATCATTTACTTTCTGAAAAAGTCTTAGGAATTAACAACCATCTCCTACTTAATTCTTCTTGCCCTTAATTTTTGTATCACTTTACTCTTTTCTGATTCTTTATCTAGGTATACCTTCATAGCCTTCTGTTTTTATTTTGCATTTTCTTTCTGGACAATCTCCTATACCTTTGGTTTCCATCTATATTATTATATCATATCATATATATCATATTGTTAATATATCTGTATTATTTTTTCCTAAACTCCAAAGCTAATAACTTACCTGTTAACTAGAAATTACGACTTCAGTTACAACTTGAACTCCTCATTTTTCTGGGCATACCAAGCCTCCTTCTCCTTCTATATCATTTTTGTTTTTGTTTGTTTGTTTTGTTTTTGTTTTTACAAATGGCACCAGCATATACCTCATTGCTTAAACCAGAAATCAAGCAGAGCTTCCTATCTCCTGTATATCCCTAACTCATCAACCAATCAAGTATTTGATTTCTACTTCTTAGGTATCCTTCCATTTGTCCTTTCTTCTCCATTCTTATTGCCAGTCACTGTGTTTTAGATTGAGTTGTGTTCCCTCAAAATTCTCAGGTTGAAGTCCTAACTTCGAGTACCTGAGAGTATGACTTACTTGAAGATGGGGCCTTTAAAGAGGTAATTAAGTAAAAGGAGGCCATTAGGTAGGGCCCTAATCCAGTATGACTGGTGCCCTTCTGAGAAGAGGAGGAGACATCAGGGATGTATACACAAGAGAGAAAAAGACCATATGAGGACACGGAAGGAGGTCGTCTGCAAGACAAAAAGAGAAGCCTCTGGAGAATTAAACCCTGCCAGCATCTTGATCTTGGACTTCCAGCTTCCAGAACTGTGAAAAAATAAATTTCTATTGTTTAAGCCACCCAGTTTGTTGTATTTTGTTATGGCAGCCCTAACAGAGTAATACAGACTACTTCTTGAACTTGTGCCAAGTCCTGACTTCTTTCAGTCTTTCCTTGATAATGAAAATATAAATCAGATTATTTCATTTCTTTCCTGTGAAAAGTTTTCAGTTATTTTAGAATGAAATCCTTTTTTGCCATTTGGTGGATAAAGCCTTTCTGGTGTATTTCTTCCCTGACTATCCTGCTTTCTCTACTATCGTCACACTGGTTATATGAGCAAAATATCTCAGCATTATCCAAATGGCTCTGATTTCTCACATCCCCTGTCTGTTGAACTGTTCCTTCTTCCTATGATACCCTTCCCTTCCTTTTGTCTAAGAAAATCCTTATTCTTGGAATCTCAGCTTTAACATTATCTCCTCCAGTACCTCTCCCCTAAGTCTCCCAGGCAATTAGGTGGTTTAAAAGTCTTTACTCACATGGCACCCTGTACAGTGTGTTGTGATTTATTGCTTTCATGTCTCCTGCCTCTGGACAGTAAGTCCTTGAATACCCCTCTGGGTTTGTCATCCTTGGTTCCTAGAATAGTTCTTTGCACATGGAAAGCACACAGTTGATAGGTGAATTTGCTAGTTACAAGCTCTAAGTCTGAATATATGGATTAAGCCTATATAAACTGCATTAGCTTAAGGGGAATGTATATTTAGCCTATTTTTAAGATTTATTTATTTTGAAAATACTGCTGTATTTGTCTTGAATACTACATATACATTTTACTACTGCTAGGAATATTTTTTTTTTATATGTGTCAGATCAACCTCTTAGCTTTTTATTTGGCTAGTTGTATTTTTTAAATATGTTTTTCTTCTTAGATTCTATACATTTGCTTATTGCCTATTTAGAAATTTACTTTTGCTCTAACAAAGTTTTTTTTTCCCCCCCTATCAGTCATGGAATGGCTTTAACTTTATATTTTATGAAGTTGACTTAAGTGTTGTGACTTCACTAATGAAGGACATATTTTCTTGGAAGTCCTCTGAAAATGCCTAATTTAGAGATCATCCATAGTGATCACTTTCTAAAAGGTCAAGGCCCTCTTATTCCATGCAAACTTCAAACAAGTAATTAATTTGTTCAGCCATGCAACAAGGTACTGGCAAAATAAGGACCCTGGAACTGACTTCTGTCTCAGTGCCACTATACCAAAGGAAATGAAAATGCATATTGTATTTTTTTTTAAAGTAAAAGGGAAAAAAGCAGGAGCTCCAGGAAAAACAACAAGCAATACAAGAAAAGAATGTCTCAATGTATACTACTGAGCTCTTCAGTGAATGATAGCTACAGTAATATACTGTTTTAGAATTAATCCATAGAACATAGTAGACATTGATTATAACACTGAATGTAAATATCAACCTTGACAATGTAAAAAGACAGCTGTTAAGAACTGGAAGGTTGAAAGAGCTGGTGGAAGAAGACCTGAGGGGAGAGAGGGTATTAATATCCTTACTTCACAGGAGAGTGATAAAGGGGGGACATGAAAAATTGAGACACTGTCTCTGGGAGAGGGAGCAAAGAGGAAAGGTCTGAGCATATTAAAGTTATAAAGATAAAAAAAGTTATAAAGGTAACCAACAAAGCATCATTAAATACTAATAATTTGGTGGCTGGGGGAAGAAAAGAAAGCAAGGGGAAATTGTCTCAAGCAGGCAAAATTCTCTTTTACCATGGGAAGTCAGTAGATACTTAAGATGCATAAACTTAGAAATAGCAGTATATTAAAATATAACAAAAGATTAAAACAAGTATTATTTAAAAGAGAAATCTTATCAGAAGATAAAATAATCATTGCAATTATACGTAAATATATCTTTGAATTTCCTGGCAGCAAAGACAAAAAGACTACGATGGATGAAGTTTTTACATTTAATAAAAGGAAGCACTTAATTTTTCCTAGAGAACAATTTTTCTGGCACCAAAACTTAGAAGGAAGTTACATTGTGAGTTCTTACGTGAAGAGTGTTAACAATAAACAAATGTCTTTACTAAAATTTAAATAGAAAGGCATATGCAAGGATACAGAATTTGGGAACAAAAGGAAGAAATATGGTTGGCTACCAAGAAGCCTCAAAATGAATTAGCTATGTGTACATCATTCATTCATTCCACTCAGCAAATATCCAAGCTCCTACATATTCCAGGCATTGGATGACAGCTACTGATTTTCCAGGATTGAAGAAGATAGTCCCCATCCTTTCAGAACTTGGTCTAGGAAGTTGTAGCTGAGTGGTTCTTGGCAATAACTGGACCTTATCAATATTTACTAAGATTGTATGTATCTATTATGAATATATTTTAAAAATCACTTTTATCGAGTTACAATGGAAAACATTCCAGTAACTGGAATGCTCTCATCTCCAAGCCACAACACCTTCTCTCTTCATGTCATAATCAGAAGTCTATTTGAGCATGGAATTGAAGTGATGTGAGATACGTAATTTTAAGGGATATTTCAGGTATTTAGTGATGCTTGATTAAGTACCCACCTTTTTTTCAGCAGAGACCATCTCCAAAGTGACCAGCTTGTCCAAATTTCCCAGATTGAGTTGTGTTGCCCTGGACACAGTTCTGGACACATATCACTGTGTTTAACTGAATTTCAGTTGACCCCCTTCATCTTCAACTGATTTCACAGAGAATGTGTAAACTTGCTTCTCAGAACAAAGCCAATAAGCAAATATGAAGTCATAATTTAGGGATAACGTTTCTTTGGAGAACTAAGCTAGTACAGTGAGGTATATAGCTTTCCACATGGTTCCTTCATCAGCTTGTATCTGCTTCAGCTCTACACTGAAGCTGCTGGATGGGACTCAAATCAAGGTCGAGCTCCTTGACAGGTATGTAAAGCTACATCTTCTGTTGATTAGCGGATGAGCAGGCAACAAAATTAATACTTGGAGAAATTAGGGGGCACTTAGAGCTATTCCATTTCCGTATCAAGAGCTGGGATATTCGTAGGCCAAGACAAAATGTATATCTAAAATAAATAATTGTTATATTTGTACTAAGTTAATTCAGTGTCTATCCAACTAGGGGTTACCATGTGCCATCTGGACCTTATTTTAATATTTAATGAAAAGCTCTAATTTGGTAATATCTAATGTCCTCACCAGTTCTAGTTCCACTTTCTACTATATTTATCTGAAACTTTTTAAAGAACCTCAGGGGTGTGTGTGTGTAAATATTTACACACATTCACAAAATCTCATTTGATGTAAAGAAAGACCAGTCTGCTCAGTAGAAGAATAAGGGAAATGTAATGTTTATTCCTGATGTATACAATAACTCAAATGCTAACCAAACTATAATCAAATCTGAAAAGTCTTCTATAATGGAGAGACTTTAGTGATTCATTAATATGAACCAATAATTGAGGCCTAATCTGTATCAGAAATTGCTATGAACAGGAGACACATAAATGAAAAAACAAAATG